GGTTTGGTGTTAGGAAGAGCTGAGCAGGGGGACAGGCCTGCTTTTAACCCCACCTCCCTATGCACTACAGGTATGGCCCCAAGCCCCATGTTTCAGATACAGAGGGACACCCCCAAGCACACCCAGAAAATAAGCATGAACTTTATTAATCAAGAAACCAGGACAGGCACGGTGGCTCACACCTGTAATCCCAGCATTTTGGGAGGCCGAGGAGGGCAGATCACCTGAGGTCAGGAGTTCGAGACCGGCTTGACCAACACAGATAAACCCCATCTCGATTAAAAATACAAAATTAGCTAGGCATGGTGGCGCATGCATGCCTGTAGTCCCAGCTACTCCGGAGGCTGAGGCAGGATAATCACTTGAATCCAGGAGGTAGAGGCTGCGGTGAGCTGAGATCGCACCACTGCATTCCGGCCTAGGCAACAAGAGCAAAACTCTGTCTCAAAAAAAGAAAAGAAACCAAGCACATGAATCCAGAGCCATGTCCTGCACCACAAAGCCCCTTGGGCATGCTTGCAGGAACACCCCAGCCTGCGCACCCTAGCTCTGTCCACACACACCCTACCCATGGCCACCATTCAGCCACCTTCAGCTGGAGGCACGAGCACACATGCACAGCCCACCCTCAGCAGGACGCACCAGGGAGGCAGCCCATGCAGGCCCTGTATGTGGGCTGGGGGTTACTAGGGCAGGGAATTCCAGGGTCTCTCTCCCTGTGCATGGCCTAAAGGGAGAGGCACAAGTTTCAGGGAGATACCACTTCTCCACACCTCAGATTCCTCACCCTGTAGGGAGAGTCACACTGAAAAAATCGCCCAGGGCAGGGGTCTCACATGCCTCATCTAGGGGTCTGGGGGCTGCAGGGAACACCCCAGCATTTCCACACCTAGAGTCACAGTCTCACAGCCAGAGAATGCAGCTGCCTCCTCCCTGGCCCAGAGATCCTTCTCTCTCATCAGCAAGAGAGGGGACATCCCAACCCAAGCCCCAGCCTCTGCCTCACTGGACTTTAGACCAGGACTCCTGCAACTGTGCCTTGCCCCTTTCGACTGGAAATTCCATTTAAGCTGCCGCCTAAACTCTCCCTCAGGACCCCACTTCCAACAATCACATAGTCAAAGGGGACAATGTCCCCCCTCCCAGCCTTGGGGCTGCTCCGGCCCCAATTGCCAGGAAGGAAGACTGAACACTGCAATGTTTAGCTCACACTGAGCTGAATGCAGCCCAGTTCTTCCTCTATAAAGTGAGCTGACTGTAGAGAAACTTCATCCCAGCGTTGAGTCATGTTTCACAATGACTCCAGAAGAGGAGTTCTGCTTCTGACATGACCTGTGGCAAGCCTTAGAAGGAAGCAGAGCTACAAAGTTATTCAACGTAAATATTTAAAGAACAGGCTGTTGTTGGTGCCAGGAGGATGGCAGCTTGCAAACCTCCAGTCAGAATAAAGGTTCTATTTGGTTGGCAATGAGTCAGGATCACAAATGCTGTTTCATTCCACCCTCTGTCCACTGAGGAGACAAGGTTTTTTTAAAGCCACTTTTCAGGAAGTTACTCTGTCCATTGGGCAGAACCTTAAAAGTTACAGCAAGAGATGAAGTGTCCGGTGTGGAAAAACCGGAGTGTGTATATATCTATTCAGTCAAGAATTAAATATGCATTTCAAATGTCACTCACACAGCAATTATTTGGAAATAAGGATGGGATCATCCAATTTTGCCACCAGTAAATATACAGACTTGGTGACTTAAAGAGTCTATAACGTCCACCAGGTAGAGGCCTTAAAGCCGTTCCACCCACATTTCCCTCTTTGAGCAAGGCAATTTGATGTGAGAATCAGGTGAAGATTTCTGATTGTCAAAAGAAACAGGCCAGGTGGAATGGCTCACACCAATAATCCCAGCACTTTGGGAGGCCGAGGCGGGTGGATCACAAGGTCAGGAGATCCAGACCATCCCAGCTAACATGGTGAAACCCCAGCTCTACTAAAAACACAAAAAATTAGCCAGGCATGGTGGCACACACCTGTAGTCCCAGCTACTTGGGAGGCTGAGGCGGGAGGATCACTTGAACCTGGGAGGTGAAGGTTGCAGTGAGCCAAGATAGCGACATTGCACTTGAGCCTGGGTGACAGAGCAAGACTATGTCTCAAAAAAAAAAAAAGAAAAAAAAAAAAAGAAACAGTGGCCAGGCACGGTGACCCACACCTGTAATCCCAGCGCTCTGGGAAGCTGGGGCAGGAGGATCACTGGAAGCCAGGAGTTTGAGACCAGCCTGGGCAACATAGTAAGACCTGCCGCCCTTCCCTGCTCTCCGGAAAAATTTAAAAATTAGCCAGGTATGGTGGAGCACACCTGTAGTTCCAGTTACTTGAGAGGCTGAGGCGAGACGATCATTGAGCCCTGGAGTTGGATGCTGCAGTGAGCCACAATCACACCACTGCACTCCAGCCTGAGTGACAGAGTGAGCCTCTGTCTCAATAGTGGGGGGTGGGGGGGGAGGACAGAGAATAGAGATGGTCCAGGGCAAAATGGACACACTGAATTTTTTATTGGTATTTCTGATGGTGTCCTCAGGCCAGGCTTACCTGAGTTCTACAGCCTCAAGCTGCATGCTGATGAAAACCACACATCACATTCCTAGTATTGAGGCCTGGGCCCAGCTTTCTCACTCGCAAAACAAAGTTGTCATGAGAATAAGTGTAATCATGCAAAGGAAAAGGGGACACCTGGCACAAAATGAGCCTAAATAAACATTAAATTTTTTAAAAAAATCACTCTGAAGGCTAGAAGGCTAGAAGGGGGCTGGGAAGCTGGCACCAAGCACTGCCAGGTAGGGGACTGAGGCCTGGACATCCCCCCAAGTCCTACCTGCTGAAGCTGGCCTTCCCTCCACACTGGGCTGAGGGTGTTTGTGCTCTGCCTCCTCCTACCAGAATGTAAGATCATGGACTATTTTGTTCCTGTTGTGGCTCCAGTGCCTAGAACCGTGCCCAGCACACAGCAGGTGTTCAAATATTTGCTGAATGAATACATGGGGATTTATGAATATATGAGAATTGCATGTAAAAATGTCTGAGTCCATTTCTAGGGGGAAAGAATCGATTTGCATAAAATTCTGAAGGAAACATAAAATCCAAATACAGGTCAACAAAAATTAGCTGGGCATGGTGGTGCATGCCTGTGGTCCCAGCTACTCGGGAAGCAGAGGGCATAGTGAGCTGAGATCACACCACTACACTCCAGCCTGGGCAACATGCAAGAATCTGTTTCAAAAAACAAAAAATACAGGTTAAGAAACATTGCTGAGTTCCACCCATGTGCCTCAGAACACCAATGATCACCGTTAGGTGAGCAGGGTAGTAAAATTACAGAGTAAAATCTAACAGGCCAGAGCTTTCCTGAAAAAGAGGTTTCTCAGGAGCCAGCCCCCAACACAGCCAAGGGCAGTCCCCAGCCTTTAAGTCTGAGGTTTGAGTTTGAGAATTAACTTTGAAACTAGAACCAGCCCCAGGTTAACAACGGAGCAGGTGGAAGTACAAGAAGTTGATGAATAAAAACAAAAAGTCTTTGGCACCATAACAGTGAGACACATCAATGCTCCCAGAGAACCTGGGGACCCAGCAACATTCCTTCAGGAACCGTAGATATAAGAACCTTCTGCCAGGCATGGTGGCTCACGCCTATAATCCGAGCACTTTGGGAGGCCAAGGTGGATGGATCACCTGCGGTCAGGAGTTCAAAACCAGCTTGGCCGTCATGGTGAAACCCCACCTTAAAAAAAAAAAAAAAAAGAAGAACCTTCTTTGCTGCTGCAGAGATTTCAGATATTCTCCCAGTCTGAACCTGGTTTGGATTCTAGGCTCCCAACCTTGCCCAGTTTATAACTAGGCCCAGCCACACCAGACTCCATGTCCCCAACATGTCCTGACCCATGACTCATGCAGATGCCAGACGGACAGAAGGGCAGACACCAAAACACAGAGCAAGAAAAGGGCAACAATAAACATTTTCTGAACTCAAGCCTTTTTTTGTTTTGTTTTTAAAGATGGGGTTTCACCATGATGGCCAGGCTGGTCGTGAACTGAACTCAAGCCTTTTAAAGATCAACAAGGTTGCTAGATCCCTAGATAATAGTATTTTTTATATTCAATTATTTAGAAAATCCAGATAACAAAAGGCTACTATAAATTCAAGTTTTAAAATAAACTTGGTTTTTTTTAATCATAATCACAGCACCATTTATATATAGTAATGATAGGAACAGGAGGCAGGAGGGCAGGGTCCGTGGTGAGTGCTCCACCTTCAAGCCCAGACCAAGGCCCTAAATGAGAATAGGCATTCCTGTTTTCACATCCAAATGTTGCCTTTCAGCCTGCCATGCCCCCTATCATCCTGTGCCCATACAAACCCCACATCCCAGACTCCACACACAGAAGAGTGGCAGAGGAGGAAGTCAAGAGTTCAGCTGGGGGCAGTTGGAGAGGAGATTGTCTGCGGAATGGCCAAACTCCAGGGGAAGATCACCTTCCCACTCCATTCCATCTTCAGTTCCCCATCCTGCTGAAAGCCACCTCCATAATAAAAATTCTGCATTCACCATCATTCAAGTCCACATGACCTGATTTTCCTAGACACCAGGCAATTTGGGATGCACTGGATGCAGGAACCCAAAAAGGCTGTCACAATGACTCTTCACTGAGCTGTTTAATACCTAAGCCATCCCCAGACAGGAGGTCTAAAAGAGCATTATAACAGCCCTAGACACTGCCGCGGAGCTGGAGCCCAAAAGCACTCGCCTTGGCTCCTGTACTTGCTCACCTGCATGTTCCCCGCTCCTGTAAGGGGTTTGAGCAAACCAGCCACATCCCTGTCCCAAGTACCTCGAAGGGGTCCAGGGAACTCTCCCATTTCAGTAGCACATAAATGTTTTATGTGTGTGTACATGCATGTGTAGGGAGGCATTAAAAAATCTGTCTATAAACTATGCCTGGTGGGCATAGCACTGATGGAGTAGTCTCCTGGCAGTCATTCCCTAACTTGCTGGGGAGCCAAGGCCACTGTGGGGGACCACCAGTGCTTTGAAGAGGTAGACCCAGGTCTGAAGATATATTAAGCTTCTCTGAGCCTATTTTCTCAACTGTAAAGTGGGAATCAAAGAGTCCCACGGCAAGATGGTTGGGACGCTCAGGGGCACTGATGGCTGTGCTACAATGGAGCTCTTGGTGGGCGATGCCATCCCAAGTGCAGGGCACACATTCGTGCATCCAATCTGTACAACAATCCTATCATGATCCCCACTTCAAAGGTGAAGTACGTAGGTACCACAATCAATCTCAGAGCTGGAATTCAAGCCCAGGCAATTTGGCTGCAGAGTTCCTTACTAATAACAGCTCACTGCAGGCACTTGCAGCCCCACTGGACTGGGCCGTCCCAAGACCAGAACACAGCAGAGTCTTGTCCCTGTCCCACTACTCCAGACAGAGGCCCTCCTATGGGGAAAACCCTCCTAGGTTCCAGGTCAGGGCCCCAAAAGCCAGCCCTCCTGTATAGCAGAATGCACAGGAAATGGGGAGCAGGGCTTTGCAGCCTTTGTGGGGACTGGTAATTTGCCAACTCTACCCCAAGGAGAGAACTCCCCTCTCCTACCTGGTACCCGCAGTAGCTCCCAATGGACTGAGTTTGTCTCAATCTCCACCAATCACACCGCTAACATGAGGTTTTTGGAGGGTGGTGACTGAAGGAGGTTTCTCTCCCTACCCACCTCTTTACTTACTAGTAAGAGCTCACATTATGTTAAACTATTTCTAAATTTTGTGAATCTGCAAGTTCCTAACAGAGGTAGCAGAGAGAAAAGCATGGGTCCAAAATAGCAATTCTGGATATGAGTTTATACCCAGAAAACTTCAAGGAAGGTTGACTTGTCTGAGCTTTAAGAGGGGGCAATGAACCAGCCCCAACCCCCACACATCACAACTTCAGACTCACTTTTGTAAGACTAAGAAGAAAAGAAATAAGCCCAAAAGGAAATAAAAGAAGCATTAAAGAAAATAACAAAGGATAAGACTGGAATTGATTATACCAACCTTTCACTTAGTCTTCATAAAAGGATTCATACTGTGTGGCACTGCAGTGATCCAATCACATTCACTTTCTTCCCATGACTTATAGGTGGTCAGGAGTACCCTCTGGCCCACTGGAAGGCCCTGCTTTTGTGGGACTCTCAGGCAAGGCCCGGCTCTGGGCCCCAACAAGCAGCTCCAGGTCTGAGAAGCAGAAGAAACTTGAAGGGAGAGGACAAGCAGCCCCTGCCCTGTCCAACCTTGAATAAAGCTTAGGTCAAGGGCCGCTAAGGAATCGTGTCTCGTGTTGTTGCCAAGAATCCAGTCTTGAAATAAATCAGCCCTCTCAGTGCATGCCATGCCATGTCATACCATGCACCCAAGTCTACGGCAGCTGAGCAGGGATTTCTTAGGGAAATGAAATGGGAAGCTCCAAATGACATAGGGGAGTTAAGAGCATACACCTCTGGGCTTGGGAGTAACTACCAGCTTGGCTGAGAAGTTCTAAGGAAGGCCTGGGGCTTCCATCCAGCCCCTGCCAGAGCCTTCACCACATATACAACCAACAGCTCAGCCAGTTGCCAAGGCAACAGCAACCTAGACATGTTTAGGCATCTGCAGAAACCGGGGCAAAGCACAATTTCCAAACTTGTGATAAAAATGCAGTCCCCGAAGCATCAAGCAAAGCATTAACCCTAAAATTCTGTTTGACTGACAGAAGAAGCAGGGCTAGTAGGGGAAGCAGGAAGCTGGGAAGCCCCTGGCAGAGCCAGTGCAGTTAGAAGTGTGGAGTTAGGAGTGTGGGCACAAAAACCTGCCTGTGCTTAGGAAGCCAAACATGTATATGCTGTGCTGTCTGTGGCTGTTTCTTCTCATTTCTACCTTCAGGTGTAGTCCAGTCTCTTCGTTTTGTTGTGAACTTCAGCTTTTCCTACCTGGGATAAGAGGAACCAAGAGGAGCAAGCTTCTGTCCACGGTGAGGCCAGAGAACTAAAAGGGAAACAGCCCCTTGTGGGAGAGGGTAGACATGGTGGAGGCACCGTAGAAATCCAAGGGAGGAGACCCCGGGGTGAGCACTGAGGTCAGCTGGCCCAGCCATTGCTCCCCATTGGATCCCCTCTCTGCCCCTGCTAAGCACCTGTCTTTTGCAGACCCTGGCAAATGAGCCACCAGGAAAACAGGACTCTGCTCAGTCTGAGAGTGAATACCTAAGGGACAATGGAGGGTAGGAAAGTTAGTCCACGGGGAGGGGACATGGTGACAAGTTCCACAGTAGACCAGAACAGAAAAGCAAACAAGCAAACAAGGCAAGCAAGCACCAGTGCTATAAACTTCCCTCCATGTTCCCACTTGAGATGCTTGTCTCTGGAGATGAACAGAGCCAGGAACGTCCATGAGAATGACATCTAGAAGCTAGAGACGAACTCCAAAGGACCACATGACCCCCAGGCTGTCTGGCAGAAAGAACCCTGCAGAGTCTTTCCTATATGCATCCCCTAAGTGAGGAAAAGAAAGCTAGAGAAGGTTTGTGAGATGCCTACCTTGACTGCTGAGCTGATAGAAGAATGCAACCCCAAGCACTCACGACCTTGGGAATTTGGAACATTAGCTCCAGGGATTAATAATAAAGTAGTAAGGATTTTCTAAAACATTGTGTCTTGCTCATGAAAGTAAAGCAGCTAATTCAAGTAAAATGATATCCAGATACTTAGGAAGGAAATGTGACTCATTTAAGAAACCCTCACAGAACTTTCTTATCTCACAGATGCTTAGAAGTTCTAAAGGCCAAGGCAAGCACCTTAAAGAGAAAGAATCCCATTTTTTTCACCCAAAAATATCAGAAAAATAAGCAAGACAGGCTTCCAAAACACTCTTAAGGTGTTCATGCCCTTTAATAGAAGATTTCTATTCCCGGGAATTTATTCCCAGGAACTAATAATTGCATATATGAAAAAAGAAAGATGAAATTATAAACTGCAAATTCATCTACATTAGCAAAAAAGTGGAAATAACCTAAAATGTCCAGCACTAGGGAATGTTTTAATCTCATTACATCAATAGGATAATACAACCATTAATAATCTTTTTAAAGACGACAGTAAAAAATGGAAAATACTTCAGAGAAAACAATTTTTTTTTTTTTATGCAGAGTCTCACTCTGTAGTCCAAGCTGGAATGCAGTAGTGCAGTCTTGGCTCACCACAACCTCCGCCTCCTGGGTTCAAGTGATTCTCCCGCCTCAGCCTCCCGAGTAGATGGGATTACAGGCGCAGGCCACCAAGCCCGACTAATTTTTGTACTTTTAGTAGAGATGGGGTTTCACATATTGCTCAGGCTGGTCTCGAGTTCCTGACTTCGTGATCTACCCGCTTTGGCCTCCCAAAGTGTTGGGATTACAGGTGTGAGCCACCACGCCCAGCCAAGAAAATATTTAAGTGAATCTGAATAATACAATTGTAACAATGTCAGTTATTGAAAAGAAAACAGTGAGGTCAGTTCAAGCTTCAAATCTCTCCCATCTACAAACTGGTTGGCCTTGGACTAGGCACCTGATTTCACTACCTAGAGCTTCCTCACCTTCAAGCAACCTTGAAGTATTGCCTTGAGGAAGGACAGAGACAACATACCTCTCTTGCCTCTTCTGAAGCTTGGTACAAAGTCGGCAGGGAATAGGTTACTTGATCAAGATAGATAAAAACCACTTCGTCGGCCAGGTGCGGTGGCTCATACCTGTAATCCCGGCACTATGGGAGGCCAAGGTGGGTGGGCCATCTGAGGTCAGGAGTTCAAGACCAGCCTGACCAACATGGAGAAACCCTGTCTCTACTAAAAACACAAAATTAGCTGGGTGTGGTGGCACATGCCTGTAATCCCAGCTACTCAGGAGGCTGAGGCAGGAGAATCGCTTGAACCCAAGAGGCAGAGGTTTCAGTGAGCTGAGATCATGCCACTGCACTCCAGCCTGGGCAAAAAAAAAAAACAACAACAAAAAACTCCATCTCAAAAAAAGAAATTTTTTTAAAAAAAACCAAGAACACTTAATGTGTGGAAGGTAAACTACAAAGAGAGTTCTTTATCCAGAACATTGTTTTCTATGTTGAACCTTCAATTTTTAAAAGATTTAAAGAAAGCAAAAAAGAAATCATTTGACATAAAAGTTATGATTATCACAACCATAAAAACAAGCATCTGCTCTAATACACCTGAGCAAATGCTCTTATTTGGTATCATAATGTTGACAAGATGTGAAGACCTTTGGCAATTATACAAAGTGCCGTGCTCTACAGAAATGCAACTTCTTCTCCCTTGTCTACCTGCTCTTCAACAGCATCCGATGCCTTTTAGAATTCATCTGCCCCAGGCGAGGCAACAGCACTCCTAAGCCAGGGCCTCTGGAACCTTCCTCCTGTCCCTCGTGGAATGCATTACGGAGTGGGTGCACCAGCGAGTCACCCACAGCCTTGACTGCACACCAGCCACTCTCCCTTTTCTGCCCTTATCTTCCTGCTGTTAAATGACTGCCAACTTTCATATTATCTTAAGCAAGTTAGTTACAGCCATAGATCCTGTCTTAAGCAAAAGACACACATAATCTGCCTCATGTCCATGTTTCTCAGAGGTGGGGGAGAAACACTGATTATCTTTTATCAACATTCACATCTGAGAGTTAGCAACTCAGAACTTACTCATTCCAGCCAGCCAGAGGAGGTAAAATGAGCGTGGGCTTCTGTAGGCAGAGCACCAGCTCTGATGGTGACCCTCTGAAGGCCACTTAATCTCTCTGAGCTTCAGTTGATATGTGCGTAGTGGAGAGAACACAATCTTGTTGCAAGAATTAAATGGGCAGGAAGTAAAGCTTCTTGAAGGATCCCTCAGAAAACTTCAGAACATGGGGGCCTGTGCAGACAGTGGGCCTCTCATTACTGACTCCACACCCCCCATGCATATCCTCCTCCTTGGTGGCACATGCCCAGACTCCTTATCTGATGATACATTTGTAGGAGCAAAGGTCACAATTGCTTAATTAAAGCATCACCATGTGTGAGCTAAGCGGCGAGCAGGCAGCCCAGCTCCAGCCAGTCAGCCAGCTACAGAACCCACTAATAGCGGGCTTGGAGGTCTGCACAGGGAGCACTGCCTGCTCTGTGGTTCCTCTGAAGACCACAATTCACAATCATGGCACACTCAGTTGGCGACAACATAATTTAATATAATGAAAGACAAATGCAGTTTAAAATATGAAAATGTTCACAAACTACAGTTTGGGTATCACTTTATAGTAATAAGATTTCATTTTATTCAATAGGAAACTTCAAAATACTAGCCACGGTTGATTCTATAAAGACCACCCTGCAGGTCCAGACAGAGGACCCATCATAGGCGTCCTGGGAGCTCTGGGCTTGGGCTGAGAGGAGCATGTGGGGTCCTGGCTGGTGGCCTCAGGCAAAACCACTGACCCTTTCACCTCTCCCTCTCTTTCCCCTCTGAACAATGAAGAAGGTAGCAAATTAACAAGGCTGTTCTGAAAACAAAATGAGGGCTATGGAAAGCTTCTTGGTAAACTGCAAATGCCTCGACAACCAAGCTATTTTTATTTATACTTATTTTAATTACAAAGTGATTACTTAAACATTAATATAAAAGTAAAAGGGCAGTGATACAGTTTGGAAGACAAGGAGAAACTTTCCATAATTCTAAAACCTTAACTATCATTGCTACATGTTATCCGAACACAATTTCACACAGGAGAGCAGTGCTTATAGCTTTATCATCTGCTTTCTACTTCTCATCACCTAGGGGTAAGCCATCACCACCAGTACCCTCTTCCAATCCTGAGTCACTAGGTATAGTCAAGCAGCATCCCTTCAGCCCAGGGTCAGGCTTTCTATAACCCATCACATCAAACTCAGGCAGAGAATCACTAACCTAGAAGACAGCAAGGCCTCTGCATGGCAGGGCTGCCCTCAAACCCCAGGGAGGAGGCCAGCCACGGTGGCTCATGCCTGTAATCCCAGCACTTTGGAGGTCTAAGGCAGGTGGAACACGAGATCAGGAGTTCAAGACCAGCTTGGCCAAGATGGTGAAACCCCATCTCTACTAAAAATACAAAAATTAGCCGGGTATGGTGACAGGCGTGTGTTATCCCAGCTACTCTGGAGGCTGAGGCAGATAACTGCTTGAATCCAGGAGGCGCAGGTTGCAGTGAGCCGAGTCGCACCACTGTACTCCAGTCTGGGAGAGAGTGAGACTCCATCTCAAAAAAGAAAAAAACAAACAAACAAACAAACAAACAAACAAACAAAACCCAGGGAGGATGACCATCATCAGGCCCTCACCCCAACAAATGGGCCATATGCCAACAGCAGCTTACAAAAGGCGGTGAGAAGAAAGAAGGCAGGCCCTGTAAGCGCCAGAATATGAGGGTAGTCTATGCGCAGGAGGCCTCACCCACACCAATGACACACAACTGCATCCCCATGACCCCGAGTCACCAAGGAAAGGTCCAGAAAGTTTGAGAGGGGGGAGTTTTTTTCTTTTTCTTTTGTGGACAAAGAGGTCATGAACATTGTGAGGTTTGGGGAGGATTTTTAAATAGAACTGGATAAAATCACTTTGGGCACTTTAAAGGTATAATTTGCTTAATTAGCAAATTCCCTTAAGTAGACACTGCACTGTGTGATAGCAGAGTGACTGATGCAGCACTGTGGACCAGGCACACATGCTGAGCTCCTGGGCTCCATCACCTCATGCTGCCCTGCCAAAATCCAATGAGGAAGGGCCGTCAGAATCCTGGCACAAAAGACTGAGGTATGGATCCCCCAAAATTCCTATGCTGAAATTCTACCCCTCAAGCTGATGGCATTAGCAAGTAGGGCCTTTGGAAGCTCATTAGGCAGGGCCCTCATGAATGGGACTAGTATCCTCACAATTTTTTCCTAAAGTTTTTGTTGAGACAGGGTCTCACTATGTTACCCAGCCTGGCTTCAAATTCCTAGCATCAAGTGATCTTCCTGCCTCAGCCTCCCAAAATGTTGGGATTACAGGCATGAGGCCTTTATAAAAAGTATCTGAGAGCTCTCTCACCTTCTTTCATGCCATATGAGGCTATAAGAAGTCAGCAATCCACAACATGAAAAAGGACCCTCGACCCTCCTCAGAACCCAACCATGCTGGTACCCTGACCTCAGACTTGCAGCTTACAGAACTGTAACAAAGAAATTTCTGTTGTTTACAAGCCATGGCATCTTTGTTACAGCAGCCCCAACTGACTAAGACACCCAGTTTTGGAGATGCTGAAGCATTTGGCCAAAAGCCACACAGTCGCCTAGTGGTGGAATTCGAACACACACCCAAGGGCTGTCTGAGTCTAAAACCATGTTTCTTTCTTTTTTTTTAAAGATAGGGTTTCACCATATTGGTCAGGCTGGTCTCGAACTCCTGACCTCAGGTGATACGCTGACCTCAGCCTCCCAAAGTACTGGGATTACAGGCTTGAGCCACCGCGCCTGGCCAAAACCATGTTTCTAACCTCCAATACCTTATTGCAAAATTACCTTTCTTCTGCAGGAACTACAGTGAAAGTGACATACTAAGCTCAATGATCTGTAAGCACAAGCATACACCATATGGAAAGAGAAGCAACCTAGCACAGTGGCTCACGCCGGAGATCCCAGCACTCTGGGAGGCTGAGGCAGGCGGGCCATGTGAGGTCAGAAGTTTGAGACCAGCCTGGCCAACATGATAAACCTCATCTCTACCAAAAATACAAAAGTTAGGCAGGCATGACGGTGCATGTCTATAATCCCCGCTACTTGGGAGACTGAGGGAGGAGAATAGCAGGAACCCAGGAGGTGGAGGCTACAGTGACCCGAGATCACTCCACTGCACTCCAGCCTGGTCGACAAGAGCAAAACTCTGTCTCAAAAAAGAAAAAAGAAAGAGAAGCAGAACCCACATAGCTGCTTCATTCCCAACCAAGCACGTAAATGCGGGTTAAGAGAATGAGTCAAGACTGGGGCCATTCCACGCTAAAAGCCCCTCTCATTAGAGAGCTGAGCCACTGCTTCCTAGGAACACAGATGGCAATCCCTGAGCTTCCCAAGGACAGAGGTGACCTTTGTGAAATAGAGTCACCTGAATCACCCCTCCCCCATCTGCATCCCTGACTTCTCAGCTGACATCCTGCTTCTCTGAAGATCTTCATCCTCCTGTTTTAAATACCCAGAAACAGCTCCCCAGTGAACTGTCCTCCAGAATACAAGGCAAGTCACAACCTGAAGCTTCCCTGCCCCTCTCATTCCCTCTCTCCCCCACCCCTTCCCGCTGTTTTTTTTTTTTTTTTTTTTTTTTTGAGACGGAGTCTTGCTCTGTCACCCAGGCTGGAGTTCAGTGGCACTATCTTAGCTCACTGCAACCTCCGCCTCTCCACAGCTCTGCCCAGCATGGTCCTTACCATCAACCCAACTGGAGGGCACCTGTGGCTCTGGCAAAATCCCTCCAAAGTCACCTCCCTGAAAGTCAGCTCTCTGCAGTGTCCTGAGGGCAGTCAGACTTGCCCTCCTCTGTCCTCCTGTACTTTGTACACACTCCTATCTGGTACTGCCACAATGAATCGAGGTAAGTTTCTAGGCCTGCTGTCTACACTGAGCTGCCTTTACAGAGCAGCCATCATCTTTATCTCAGGATTCCAGGGCTGCAGTGGCCAGGACCACCCCCTTTGACTCACCTTGCCTGCTGCCTTCCACCCACAGATGCTCCCTCCACGGGAGCCACTGAGATATCCTCCAAACACTCTCAGTCCAGGGAGTGAAATGAAAATATAAAGCAGGTACTTCCAAGGGCAGCTTAACAGAGTGCCCCAGCTGGCTGCAATAACAGTCACAGCACACGTGACATAATGGGAAGACAGGTGGAGTTCTCCACACACACTCCACACTGAGTGACGCCTGCTGTGTGCAGTACTATCAGCTTCCATGTCTGAGAATTCAAAACATCTTTCAGAAATAGATCAGACGTATTCTTTAAAAATACTTTTTTAATCTTTATTATGATTATTTTCATCAGAAATAAGTCACATAACATCTGTGAGGCTCTAAAGTTAAGTGTTCTTTTTCTTTTTGTTTTTCTTTTTCGAGACAGAGTCTTGCTCTGTCACCCAGGCTGGAGTGCAGTGGCACAATCTCACCTCACTGTGACCTCCGCCTCCTGAGTTCAAGCCATTCTCCTGCCTCAGCCTCCCCAGTATCTGGGATTACAGGCGCACACCACCATGTCCAGCTAATCTGTGTAATTTTAGTAAAGACAGGGTTTCACCATATTGGTCAAGCTGGTCTCAGACTCCTGACCTCGTGATCTGCCTGCCTTGGCCTCCCAAAGTGCTGGGATAATAGGCGTGAGCCACCACACCCAGCCTAAGTTCAGTGTTCTTTTACATACAGAAGCTCTTTATATAGCTGAGAATATGTACTCTTTCAATAAAATGACAAAATTAGTTCATAAAATGTTAGGAGTCTGGTCAGAAGGCCACAAGAAGCCACTGTTGGACAGTCCTGGCCACCAGCACAATCCACACCCAACTTTCAAACCCACCCAGCAGCTCTGGGCCCAGGGAGGGGCCTCCTAGACTGCAGAGAGCATCTCATCTGTGAGGACATATTTGGATAGGACAAGTCAGACATTTGGAATTTTTACTTAACATTTATTTCACAACTTTCTCAACTGCTAAGCAACTGAGAAGTAGTCATCTTAATGTACTCTTTCATCAATAAGCGTTAAATAAGTCTGCTCAAAACACTCAAGCCCTACAAACTGCCCCTATGAAAAATGTGGCAACAACAACAAAAAAAAAAAGACGTAGCAAGAAAAAATAACAGAAACAAAGTAAGTAGCCTTTTCACAGTCATACAGAAAGGTGTTTAGTGATCCAAATTCAGAGAGAAAAACAGTCCTTTCAGCAGATGAACAAATAGTTCCCTCTGTGAGTGACACATTCTGGGGATATTTGAACTGCCAAACATAACTCATAATGACAACCACCAAGGAAGCAAAGCCTAATGGAAAAGCCCCAGGATGGCAACCAGGAGCCCCAGTTCCAGTCCCAGGACAGCCTCTGGCTGTGTGCTCTATCAACGTGCCGGCCAAGCCTGGCCACTTTCTTCATCACAGGAAGGAACATCTATTGCCACCCGTACCACTCAGAAATGTTTTGAGCACAAAAAAAAAAAAAACCATGAGAGGTGAAAGTACTCTGGAATGTGCATCTTCTATAAATACAAGTCATCATTATTGCTAGCTCAAAGATGACCGGAAAAATAGGATTACACAATATCACAGGTGAGAGGGAGCTTAGAGATGGAATGATCCAGTTCTTAATCTGGGTCCAGGTCTATGAAGCTGTCCACATATGTGCTCCCTGGGAAGAGCTCACAGCTGTTAACAGATTTGCAAAAGGTAAAGATCCTCTAAGTGCCTCATTTGATACATATGAAAACTGAGACCCTGAGGTCTGCGTTAGTCCCAGACCTCAGGGTTAGTCAGGGAGAGGCTGGACAAGAGCCCAAGGCTCCTAGTCTCCATCCATGCTCCTCTCCCTCCATCATCCCATATTCTTGGGAGGAAAAATCATCATTTAAATTTTATCTGGCCACAGAGTATGTTCTATAAACCACCACACATGCAGTTTCTAAAGACACAGCCAAGTCCCTATCCTTGTTTATCATTTTTAAGGCTTCCTGTGAGGTCTGGAAATTGAGACACCATTTTGTTATTTCTATATTCTCATCTCTGTCTAGTTCAGTGCCTCAAGTCAAGAAACATGCAAATGATTTTTTAAGATTAAAAATAGGCCAGGTGTGGTGGCTCATACCTGTAATCCTAGCACGTTGTATACCGAGATGGGAGGATCACTTGAGACCAGGAGGTTGAAACCAGCCTGGCCAACATGGAGAAACCCCAGCTCTATTTTTAAAAATAAAATAATTATTTTAAAAACTGAAGGCCAGGGTGGTGGCTCACGCCTGTAATCCAAGCACTTTGGGAGGCCAAGGTAGGCGAATCACGAGGTCAGGAATTCGAGACCAGCCTGGCCAACATGGTGAAACGCCGCCTCTACTAAAAATACAAAAAATTAGCTGGGTGTAGTGGCGGGTGCCTATAATCCCAGCTACTCAGGAGGCTGACGCAGGAGAATGGCCTCAACCCAGGAGGTGGAGGTTGTAGTGATCGTGCCACTACACTCCAGCCTGAGCAACAGAGTTGAAACTCCATCTCGAAAAGAAATTAAAAATAAAAAGGCCTTATTCTAGGAAACAAGAAAGACTCTATGATGCTTTGTTACGTTTTATTAAGCAAAGAGATGAACATGCAATCATGGGAATAAACACAATTCAATAGGTCATTTATGGAAAGGTGGTTTTTGTTTATGTATGTGTGTTTTTCATCAAAATATCAAAACTTGTGATCTCTGGTGGCCACTGTCCCTCAAGCAGTTACCTCTGGAACTGCAGAGATACCAAAAAATGTTGCATTGTGCAGAATACTTTGAGAATTCTCTGAAGTCTGGCTCCAGCCCACAGATAGAGCATACTCATCTGAATACTAAAATTCTGTAGAAATTCCTACAAAACTACCCCAAGAACCATCACTGGGACACATCTGGAGTCTGTCTGGAGCAGGGACAAATGGTACTTTCTGGTATGTGAGGGATCAGTGCCATGGCCATAAAGAAAGACTCTACCTGAGGAATGCAAACTGACTTCGTAACTAAGGCATTGCTGCACTGCCCTCAGGTATGCAACTACCATTCCAAACAATCTAACTGGGAAAAAACTGAGCCAGCACTATCACTCAGGTGAATGTGGTCATTAACCGCATAATCTACAAGGTGGCCTCCAAAAAGCTGCCATTACAATCTGATGGCAGGTAAGGCAGGCCTGAGTCAGCTGGGAGGTTCAGATGAAGGTGGCCAGAGAGCATCTGGTAAATGCCACTGCCATCTCTAAACACAAGATGTCATTACTATTATTAAAGAAACCTTCCACCACATCCTGGAATCATCCACTGATAACCCTTCAGAATCAGTAAGCCTGAGCATGACACCCTTAACACAGCATGGACTTTGAAGGGATAGAGAAGAAACAGAAGGCAAGGACACTTGGGAGGCCTAGGCAGGCAGATCACTTGAGGTCAGGAGTTCCAGATCAGCCTGGCCAACATGGTGAAACCCCATCTCTATTAAAGATATAAAAACTAGACGGGCAAAGTAGCAGGCGCCTGTAATCCCAGCTACTCGGGAGGCTGAGGCAGAAGAATTGTTTGAACCCAGGAGTCAAAGGCTGTCTCAAAAAAAAGGGCAAGGACAAATGACCCTCTGTTCCCACCCCAGAAATGTCTGGCCATCAGAGATGTGGACTGGGTAAGCAGGATTAGGGGAAAGCCAATGTTATCTCCCTGTGGAAGGCTATGTTGGAAACTCAGATACTGTTTTGTTTTGTTTAATACATGCATACTTTTAGATTACTTATTTATAGATGGAGTCTCGCTGTTGCCCAGCCCTGGAGTACAGTGGCACGATCTCGGCTCACTGCAACCTCCACCTCCCGGGTTCAAGCTATTCTCATGCCACAGCTTCCGAAGTACCTGGGACTACAGGTGTGTGCCACCATGCCTGACTGATTTTTGTATTTTTAGTAGAGACAAGATTTCACCATGTTGGCCAGGCTGATCTCTAGGTTCTGACCTCAGGTGATCTGCCCTTCTTGGCCTTCCAAAGTGCTGGGATTACAGGCGTGAGCCACCGCGCCCAGACTAAATTATTTAAATATCACATCACAACTTCATATACATTTGAGATTAAAAGTAATAAAGTTCCAAGTCCCAAAGCAGCAAGAGCTAAGGATACCATTTCCATCAAATGATTTGTTATTCTTCTCCCAAAAAGAGGATAAAGAGAGCAGACTAATCACTCATCTACTTCCCTGTGTTATGTTACTTTCCCAAGTAATAAATATCATCGGCCTAATGGCCACTTTCTTTAAAGCTTCAAGACTATTGTCGAAAGAAAAACACACCACAGAAAGGTTTTTGATGTAGTGGCCTCACATCTCAACCAATATAACCTCACCGAGGAGGCTGCCAAATTCTACAATGAAGTTTAAGTGCACACAAGTGAAAGTTTTCCAGGTGAATCAAGAGAAAGCCAAGCTGCACTGGCACGCATCCAATATCGCTATGAGGAGGCTGCATGCAGGCAGGCTCATGAATCAGGTGGAATGAGAGCATTTGGGGCAAGAACAGGAGGGCTGGCATTCAACACTGCCCACCTGGTCTGTGCCCTTGCCCTGGGCTCCAATCTGGCAATCCCAGCAGGTTTACAACAAAACTTCAGCACACCGGAATAAGTGCAGAGGGAGGCACAGAAAAGGAAGAAAGGAAAGTGTGAGCTCACCATCTGCAGCTGAGGGTCAAATTCTTTGAGCTGGTCTCTTGATTGTCATCAAGACAGGCAGGCAGCATTTGGTAAACTGTGTGCCAAGTAGCCCTGGAGACTCTGAGCAGCCTACCCTCTTCACCACAACAACCCGGGACAGGCGGGGGGTAAAAAGAGAAGACAGGACCCAGGAATGGTGCACATATCCCGGCCAAAGGCCACCTTTCCTCAGGCACCCAAGCCGAGAGTGGCATCCAGGGCCTGTTACACCTCAAAGGCTGTGTGGAGCCCCAAGGCAATAGCATAGCTTGCCACCCTGACCAACCAACTCCTTCTGAAAAGAAAATCGACTTTCTCTGATGGAGCCGAAATCCAATGAGTCAATGAAATTCAACAGCAGCAGGAATCACTACCTCTCCAGTCAAGAACTTCTCAGGATGCCTGGCCAGGCTTGAAAGCCCTAGAGGAGGAAGGGAGTTCAGATTTCTGAGTCAATGAGTTTGGGGAAACTCCGAGGACGGTCACAAGGGCAAACCGTGGCCCCAGCCCTACCAAGGGCAAACCGTGGCCC